CGAAATCCAGGTTTAATACTAGGGGGGGGGGGGCCCTTTAATATTAGGGGGAAGAGATTACTGGTTCCAAACATGCAATACTGAACCGGCTTTATAGATAACTGTTAGAAACAGGTGCGGGAAATTGGCGGGTGGGTTGTTCGAGTCTTGCAATTGTTGGTAAGACTACGAACTGATCTCAGAACGCCAAGCACCAATTGAAACTTAAGCTCAACAAAGTCAAACCCATGTAGACAAGCTTTCTGATCAACGCCGAACGTTGAGTCGAGGGGCAGAAACATTCTTGGCCATGCCTACACACTGCAAGTTGTTTATCTTCTTGTCTTTGTCTGAAAGATGAACTCTGCCGGAGCTGTGTGCGAGCCTCCAGGTTGAAACAACCACAGGCCTTGTGTATATCCGCCCCAGCCGGAAACCCTCGGGATGTTAGTTTAAGGCTTGTGAGGTCTGGTTCCCGTGCCCGCCGAGATTGTCCGACACCCTACAATGTGGCAGGCATCGGAGCCTCGATGCCCAATCGACAACCATACGTTCGCTGAGCTCGACCTGGGCTGGCCACTGGGTACGCGAAGCATACGCGCTAAACACAACCCCCAAAAAACTATTGTCACCCCACACCCGAGGGTGCAGGTAACTGAAGGATCCCCCACGGGGCTCCCAAGCAGCAGCGGCGCGAGGAAGACGTACACAGAGCCGGCCCAAAGCCGCATAAGAGACCAAACTCCCTCTCACCGAAAGATCGCAAGCATAAGCTTAAGTCCTAAGCTCGATTACCTTGGGCCCTACGCAATTCGCGAACGCTCTCTTCCAGTTGCCGCCGAATACATGTTGAACAAGCAGATACCAGAGTTACATTAACTCAATTCGTTTGGCTTCGGGTCATGTGCAGATGGGTCAGTGAGGAGGGGGGCTCGCAGCCATCAATGCCATCAATGCCCTAAGGCTCCAGCTTTCAAGCAGCTAAATGCTAACGCAACTTGCACCAGTATACATCCGTGGAGAATTTTCTGAACCCGGAGCATCTGCCTGACTGTGCCGGGAGTCGCACCATGACGTGCTGCATGGGCTCTGCCCCCACGATACGCGACATCTGCCCTAAACCCAGCACTTGACTGGGTCCCGGGCGTAGTGCGGGTTTCGCTCGAGGAACCTGGAAGAATCTGCGCTAAACTACGAATTGGGATCTGCATGGCTTATTTTATAGTGTTTTTGCGGTTCAACTGCCTGACCGAGTTCAATCAACTCAAGCATCAGTGTTGCAACTACGTGCGGGCGATCCCAAACAAATCAAATCCGAATAATTGCCTTGTAATGTTGAACCAAGGCATTGAGCCCTCGAATGACACGGCAGCATCAAAGACTCAAACAGCGAAAGCAGAACCATGGCATGAGAACCAACAGAGAAACCTCCCTCGAAGAAACCAACCCTAAACTCCCAACTCTATATCCTGAAACTTGGCACGACTAGGCGAAGCCTAGAACTGAATCTTGAGCAGCACTAAGGTCTTGATTATGGCCATGGATGAAGCATCCATCGTTGGCTCACCCTAGAGCTTCTGGTACGGCAATGAAGCTTCGAAGTCTCGAATGTACCTAGACCCTCCATTGAAGTTGGCAGACACGTTGGCTAGCTAGGTCTTGTACCAAAATGCCATAAGAAGGCAACAAATCGCAACACCGAAGAAGTCGTGACTCCGGTAACTCCTGAAGTGCATACGACTGCAACCTCCGTTAGACCTTTCGGATGCTTGGCACAAGCCGCCAACTTGAAAGCCTTTCACACCATCAGGAATCAAGCCGGCGAGTGAAAGTTGCAGGAAGCTGCCTCTGCTAGGTCTCTCTCATGGAGGATACACATCTGGTCAAACGGAAACACTTCACTGCAGACTAGACTACACCCGATCACTCAGAGCACAGCCGACCATAGGCACGTTTGGAGGTGTCCCAAACCTTGTAGGCACCACATGCTATGCTGGCAAGAACTTGACACCTTCGGAACCCGAGCCGCCCCGAAAGATCGTGGCCCGGCCCCTTCGGCTGAGCTCCTGCAAAGCCACCATGATAAGCTCTCTTTGAGCTCCAAAGAACTCCTGGCCCTCTGCTGCCTCTCCATCCATAAGGGACTGCACAGTCTCGACGCTGCCTATGAGCCCCATCTCTTGAGCCCAGTTTAAGAGCTGATCTGCCCAAGCAGATGGCGAGCGCCAGAAGATCAAGAGCCTCTCGCTCCGTGGCTTCCCCCCATTTCCGTCGTCATCGGCCCAGGCGGCTGCCCCTGTCTCAACCAAGTGCTTGGCCAGGGCTTTCCGCGCGTCGCCGGCGAGCTGGCGTTGGATCTCAGCATTCTTGAAGATGGCAGAGGATTCCGATATGTCTAGCATGAAGACTCGGTGAAACCTGCAGTAGTCGCACACAAATTGCGTCCACAGCTCCATCTGCTTGGCCCTCACGGTAGCATTCGGTTGCAGCGTGAAGAATGGAGGCAGGCTGTAGAAGGGTGGGAACTGGAAGTCCTTGGCATCCGCGGCCATGGCTGGCAAACACTACGCCCTTTGGCCCCCTCAATGCGGTTCATGAAATTCATTGTGGCCAGCCTTTGTTTCGAGATATGGATCGCAGAACGGCTGCTGCAAGATTAGCTGCCCAGGTTTCAGGCTTGAGCCAGAAGTAGCCGTTTGGCCTGTGTTTGGGCTGTAAGGTGTGCAAACCACAAGGACCGACCAATCCCTAAGTGATGCGTTGCTTCAGTTCCCACATGGAGACTACAGGTGCAGCAACTAAGCGAGGTGGTCATGCTTTGATGGGCCTGTCGTCGGCAAGAAGACTTGTGCAAGAAGACTTGAAGTGCGGTCTTGGAAGAAAGGAAGCATCGACATCGGCATGAAGGATTGCCAGCTGTTGAAGATCTGCGACGTCCATACTCAGGGGAGTGGAATATACCCCAACAATTGCCCATAATCATACACAACAGAAACAATCGATCATCGAGGGGTCGGCTGTCCTTGTCTGAACGATCCTAGCCATAGCCAAGGCACCGTAACATCGCAACGGCAATTACCTACAAAGCTCTTCCTCCTGTCGTCATGCCTGACTGACCTTCGGACACTATTCAATCCCTAAGCCGCAGGGCTCAGGTCGGCAATCTCCCGTGGGGTTCGAAGCATGCAGAAGCCGCAGGCCGTGCTAGTCACAAGGGACTGAAATCACAGCAGCCACACCCGCCATGGGATGCCATGTTTCCCATACGGCATAGTTGCAAGTTCTGGGGCGAAACACTAAGAACACACGGTCACCGAGAACTGGACTTATCTAAAGACCTTGAACCAGATACCACCCTGCTGCTCATGCTTGCCGCCACGGAGCCAGTCAGCCCAATGGAAAGTACCCTCACCAGGCAGGCACACCTGAGCACCCGAAAACTGTGAATGCTATGCCGATGTTGCCTCCTACTTCCCCTTCTTCTGTGTGTTTCGATTGGAACCACAATACGCTTCTAAAGCTAGTCCACTTACAGAGGAGAAGTCAAGCGGTTAGGATTCGCAGCAGGGGCTTCTTTAGGGCCTGTGGGGCTTGTCCCAGCCGCCCAGCTGACAAAGGGGATTAGGGTTTACAGGTTGTTGGATGTAGACAAGCAGGAGGTCATGTGCTCAGCGGCTCAGATCTTTCGTGACTCCTGAAATCCTTGACACATTGAAGCACGTGGAAGTCTCCAGCTGAACCGATCTGGTAGAAAGTTCCGGAAGGAGTGCTCATCAGAATCAAGTCAGGCTTTGAAGCCGAGTGCTTCGATCCTCGTGAGCCGCCAGAAGCTAGCATGCTCTGACGAACGAGAGGAGAACACGTGCGCTAGGGACTCAAAATATGCAGGCCAAGAGCCTAAACTCACTTTCGGCTCATAAGAGCCCAGAGCGTAGAATCCTTAAGTATTGGGGGACCTTAAGAATTGGCTAGATTTAGTGCTGTAAGGGGGTATTCTTACTAGCTACTCGGACCCCTAGAATCGCCCCACCCCTTGCATCCTCTAGACCTAGCTAGGCCCCATAGAACCCTATAAACCCATCAAAACCGGGAAGCTGGGTTTCACGCTTAGACTCCCAACATGCTGAAGTTCCTTTCGGACGTGTAACTTGGTAGGCCCTCAGCCCGAAAGCCTACTGACCCCAACGGGTTATTGGGTTAGGGCCTAACTCAACAGCCTGGGGTTAAGACCAAACCTTAGACTGTCTGGGGCTTAAAGGGGCTTAAACTTCTGATTCACAGCGTAATTCCTCAGTTTTATCAGGGAAACTACGAGGTGTTGGGCTCTCTGCTAAAACCTCTCGTTCACGCAGACTGGGCTCGGTATGCAGCTCAGTCAGCTACTTAGTTGGAGATTCGTATTCGAGGTGTAGGGTCGGAACTTGAGGGTTCACAGCTCAAAGCTTCAAGCTGGATGGTGGACGGGCCGATAAAGGGGCTTTAGTGAGAATTATGGGGGCGAAAGCGTCCATTCCTCCCGGGCCGGCTATGAGGCCTGAAGTGATTTTGCTTTCAGGCTACTGAGCACCGGTTGAAACCAGAAAGGCCACCCCCAAATCCGATAAAACTTGAGGCCCCAGCCCAGAAAGCTCCAAAACCCGATGAAGCCTAAACCCATGCTGGGGCCACAGGAACAGCATGCTTGGGATCGCACCGGAAACAAAACCTCGTATCGACCTCGCTTGCGTCATGGACATCATGGCTTGTCATTGGGGAGGCTTCTAGAAAGACGTCTCGCCGTAGGGAGATGCGGAAGAAGTTGGCTGTTTCTAGCCAACAAGACAAACAAATACAAACAAGCTGGTGCTGCCGGTGGTCGTGATATATGGAGAAGGTGCCAGTGGTACTCACTGTGATCATTGTGGTGACCGTCCAGTGGGAAAAGTGTCCTTTCGTACAGGTTCACGAAACAGAGAAAGACAAAGCTCTCGCTACCCAGCAACATGAATCTTCGACCGCTATGGCCCCAGTCCTCAAAATATTCTTCGACGGAGGAGAAACTGCTCAAACAAGGTTGTGGTGATGCTAGTGAGAATGGACAAATACCCGGCCCGGATCTTCGGCGAGGAATTAGGGCTATGGCTATGGCGACGAAGCGACGAAGGCAGTCATACTAAGGGTGCAGTCCTACTGAACTTCCCACCACTTCCGCCCCGAAACCGACAGCCCCAAGCCCTGACGGTGATTAGTGCCTTTACCCAAGCGCCTGCCAGCAAGCTTGCATGGACCGTGAATGTCCTGGAAGCTACCACAAATTACACATGGAGGCAGATTTCGCCCAAACAACCCAAGTCAAGTCCTAACCTGGAATACTGATCTAAATTCAGGGACACTCAAACTCAATTCCCCCCAGGCCACCACAGCCTGCTATAAATGAGAACCCTGAACCTACACCATACACTCCAGACTCCAGCCCAGCCGTTGCGAGCGGAGGACCATCCTCAGGTGGTGGATAGGTAACTACGTCGACGTCATCGGTGGCCTCAGCATTCACATCTTGAACGGTTTGGGCTTGGGGTTCAAATTTAAATTAAAAGGTTCAGGGCTCACATCTTATAGTGTATTCCGAACTTTATAAACCCGAAACTGCGCTTGCAGTGCTTGCGGTGTATAGGGGCTGAGGGTGACCGTGTCTGAAACCGGAATCTGGATGGCAAGCTTCGTGGTAGTTCCCGCTAGTTGCTAGCTAGGCTCAAGGCGCTCTAATTAGGGCTCACAGCTTGAGGCCCAACCTGAAAAAGACCCCACGCGCATTTTGAATCACCTGTGCCCATATGATCTATATAAAGGTGCAGGTGCGGTGACAAAGCGATCAGGGAATGGGTCACTCCCGTTGACGCTCAAGGTGCCATCAGTCTTGTGGCACTTGCCGGCATAACCGATATCCGACATCATCTCGTCAGTGAACAGTTGTGAAAGACAGTGCAAAACGGCAGACTACGTCAATATTATTCCATCAATCAATGAATCCCGAATTCAATCCGCGACGCCACAAGGCATGGGCGAATAGCGCTGAAAGCTTTTCAGTGGCGCTGCCCAGCAGTTGCAACGACTTCAAAACCTGTGTCCGGTTGCAAGAGAGAGCCTCGGGTCAGCTCGCCTCTAACTTCTGACATACATATATACCTAAGTACGTACATACATACATACATACATACGTACGCACATACATACATGCGCACCTACATATACATACACATGCATATATACGTACATGCATAACGTACATTACCTGCATGCATGCACGCACCAACCCACACACACACACAAACGCACACACAAACACAGAGACACACACACAGAGAGAGAGAGAGAGACACACACACACACGCCCCTACGTTATACATGTGCATCCACAAACATGCATATGTATGTATATGTGTACATATATATATACATACATACATGCATACATACATGTATACAGTTAGCATTAGAGTTTTAAGACTAACACCACTACTAAATAGCAATCTTTGCGTAAAAAAGGATAAACACATGCATATGCATGTGTATATGTATACATGTGTATGTATGTGTTATGTGTGTATATATATATATGTATATATATATATATGTGTGTGTGTATATGTATAAACACAAATTGTCTGTACATGTTGTACGTTTACATCCGTAGATACACCCATGCTCTCACCAGGGGAGTGCATTCAAGCTGGGCTTATGCTAAGTCTGTTACCTGTTCGATACTTTGTTGTGCTTGAGAAAGGGAACAACAACAAACCAAAGACAGCAAGGTGCAGGGCTGACCAATACCTAAATTCTGGTGTGTGTGTGTGTACCATGTTGAGTTTACATGAGAACGACTAGGCTAGCGGAATATGTCATGAGCTTCAACAAGTGTTGGAAGTGCATAGGAAATTGCAGAAATGGGAACCATTCAAGGATTGCAGCGTCTTGATGTATCTATGACCAAAGCTTGCAAGTGTGGGTTGATGGGGCTTGGGGTTAAGGTTCGGCAGTTGAAGCATAACTTTCTACAGTTGTGGTGTTTGGACGACCCGTGCCCATGGAAGCTACGGCTTACAGTCTACGTCGCCCTCCAAATTCCCCCACTCCGAACAGGTGCATGTCGGGGTTCGGCTGCAAGCTCACGACTCTAAGCCTTCGGCAAGGGCTAACTATGCGCGAGGACTGCGCCCAGAGGCTCTTCTGTGACCACAGGAAAGGATGCTAGACGAGTGTGAAGCTGATGGTGAAAATACAAAAATCGAATGTGCCAGGCGCTGAAATTGCAGTAGGTATCGGGGCATATCTACCTCAATATCTATAGTCTTCTGTGCTAACACGGAAGCTCGGGTGTGAGCGCTGGCTGCAGAAATATTGACAGGAGCCGACAGCATCATCTTCCCTCCACATGGTGAAGAACTTCCTCAGCCTATTAATTAAGACTTGCAGGGTCTATTGCACTCACCCTTCTCTCTACGCGGGGCGGAGAATTCAAAGCGGAACGGCTGGGGTCTGGGGGCTCAGGGGTGGTCGATGCTGTGGACTGGGG